ACCCACTCCGCATCCCCATGGAGTACCTTGCTCATCCCAGTTTGGAGCAGGGGGCTCCCCAGGCCCTGTCCCTACTCCCAGCCCAGCAGCCAAGGGGAACCTCACATCTGGATTCTCGTCTCTGTGTCCCCATGGGGCTCAAAGCCAAGGCAGGGGCTTGTCTGCAGGCAGAGGGAGGTGGGGGGCTCTGCCACAGCTCCCTCCTTCCCCTCAGCACCTACGGCTGGTCACTGGGATGCACAGCCAGGAAGCTGCCCAGCCGTGTGCCCCAGCGCAGTCCCCAGGGTGTGCTGCCCGCCCCACCGTGCTGGCACCGAGGCAGTCCTGGCTTACATGGCTGTTTTGGCAAGGATGGAGGACAACATGGCCTGCTCATCGGTACGTGCCGAGGGCAGGTTGTGATAGCTCTGCTCAGCTCCATTCAGCACCTTGCTGGGAGGGCTGGCTGCCGGCTCCAGCAGCCGCTTTGTCTCTTCTTCCTGAGGGAAAGGCAAGAGGAGAATAAGCCCCAGACCCCCCACACCAGCACCATTCAGCCCACTTGTCAGGAGGGCTTCCTGTGCACCCCATTGTAACCCGGCACAGCCTCAGCTCTGCTGAGGCAATGGCCAGGCTCCTCTTCCCCAATTCCTTTGCTTTTTTCCAGTTAAAGCCCCCATGGCCACAAAGGGACCAAGTGTGGCTAAAATCAGGCAGTGTGTGGCAGCATATTTGGAGGGGCCAACCCTGCAGGCAGGAGCCCACGGCCAGCACTGACCTGCCCAAAACCTGTCAGCTATCAAGGACCTACAGTGGCCTCACCCCCCAACCAGGCACCACAGAAATCCCACCAGCCTTTGGTCTCCACATCAGCATAGCCGGGGGCTCATCTGGGCCAGGTGAGCTCCACCTACCACAGCCTAGGGACAGCAGGGGGTGGGGGGTTTCCAGAGTCACAGGGCACATCCCCCCACTCAGTCCAGGGGTGTGGCCCACTCAGGCCAGAGCTGTGGCTCAGGCCTTAATCCTCTGGCTTGGTCAAGCAGCACCACAGGGGAGAAGAGGCCAGCAGAGAGACCATGGACACAAACACCCAGGAGAGCAGGATCACAGAATCATGTAAATCAGACCATTGAGTCCAACAATTCCCCCAGCACTGCCAAGGCCACTATTAACCCATGTCCTAAGTGCCACATCCACATGTCTGTTAAATCCTGCCAGGGATGGGGACTCCACCCCTGCCCTGGGCAGCTGCGCCAGGGTTGGACCCCACTTTCAGGGATATTTTCCCTAATATCAAACCTAAACCTCTCCTGGCACAACTTGAGGACGTTTCCTCTTTTCCTGTCCCCTGTTCCTGAAAGTAGAGCCTGATCCCCACCTGGCTCTCACCTCCTGTCAGGAAGTTTCAGAGAACAAGAAGGTCCCTCCTCAGCCTCCTTTTCTCCAGGCTGAGCCCCCTCAGCCGCTCCTCATTAGACTTGTGCTCCAGACCCTTCCCCAGCTCTGTTGTCCTCTGGACACACTCTGGCCTCTCCCTGTCTGTCCTGTCCCGAGAGGATGCTCAGCCTGTGACCTAGGGTGAGCTGGGAGCACGACCATTCCTCCAGTCAGTGACATCTCCAGCTCCTGCCTGGACAGCAGCTCCCTCTCCCCTTCTTCTGCTGGGCCCTGCCGCTGCCATACTCTGGCCCAGGCCCGTCCTTCCCTCCCCGTGGGAGCACCACGGCCCAGAGGCCGGCCACGCTGCCCCGCGGACGGGGCCCGAGCTCCCTGGCAAGGCACGGGCAGAGCCCGAACCGCGCCCGGGGATTAAGTTTCGCGGGACAGGTGACGGTCCCAATTCCGCACCGGCCCAGGCAGGAAAAGCTGGTGCTGCTCCCGCCGGCGCCGCTCGAGGCCCTGCACTCGCCCCGGCAGCGGGACGGGGGAACGGGGCGGCGGATGCTCTGGCACGACCCCCGAGCCGCCTCCTCCTCCTGCAGCAGGGCACCCTGGGTGGCGCGACACATGCGAGGGAAGAGTGTCACGGGGGCGGCGAAAGCGGGAGGGCGTTCGGAAGCTGCTCTGGGAGCGGGGAAGGGCCGGGCCCTGCCGGGGGCACACGCCACCGGTCCCCCCCGTGCAGGCAGCCCCGGGGCAGCCGGGCCGAGGCTCCCTGGCGGCGCCGCCCCCCCCCGGGCCCCTGTCCCCACCTGGTCGGAGGCCTCGGCCTCGCTGCTGTAGCAGCAGCCCATGGCGAGCGCGGCACCGGCCTGGCCCGCCGCCCACGTGACAGCGAGTCACCCGCACACGTGACCGGGGGGACACGGGCCGCGCGCGCCGCCGGGGGCGCGCGCGCGCCGCGTCACGTGGAGGGGGCGGTGTTCGCGCGTGCGCTGCGTCACGCGCCCCTGCGCGCGCGGTCACGTGCAGTCGCCCAGTGCTCCCCCAGTCGCCTCCAATGGCCCCGGTGATCCCAGCGTTTCGTACGATCCCAGCGTTCTCAGTGCCCCCATGGTGCCACTGTTCCCAGTGCTCCCAGCGTCCCCACGCTCCTACTTGCCTCCACGTTCCCCGTGCCCTAGTGCTCCTGCTGATCCTATAGTTCCCAGTGCCCCTGTGCTCCCAGTGTTCCCATGCTCTTAGTACCCCCATGTTCCCCATGCCACTGTGCTTCCACTGATTCTACTGCTCCCAGTAGTCCCAGCCCCAGCTCCAGTTGTCAGGAACCCCAGCTCCAGCATCAGGATCCCAACCCCAGTGTTGGGCCCCCCCAGCTTCAGTATCAGGCCTCAATCCCAGTGACAGGACTCCAGCTCCAGTAGCAGGTCCACAGCTGCCAGTATCAGCATGCCAGTATTGGGGCCCCAGCCCCCAGTTTGGGGACCCCAGCTCCAGTACTGGCACCCCAGACACCAGTGTCAGGACCCCAGCTGACACTGTATCAGCATCCCAGGCCCAGGCTTGATCCTGCAGCCCAGGACCACCCCGCAGACCCAGCCTGGCCCTGGTCCCACTGAGCTGGTAACCCGAGCCAGTGGTGGCTGCAGCTAAGGTGACACTATCAATAATTGAGTGGCAGCAGGGCCCCACGCAAGAGTGCTTGCCTCTGCCTGTCTGGAGTGTGGGGACAGGTAAGTGCCACCCCCATGTCCCTGTCCCCTTGCTGTGTCTGGGGACCCCCAGCAGCTGAGGGTATAGGGAGCAGGGCGTGGGGTGCACGATATGGGGGGGGGGGGGGTGAGGGCAGCAAACCTGGGCCAAGGAGGGATACAAGGGGCTGTGCTAGACAGTGCCCCTTAGAGCAGCCCAACCCCACCCACACCACCAGTCCTGCAGACTCCAATATTGGGACCACAGCAGATGGGTCCCCAGCACCCCTCAGACCTGGCACAGGGACCCCCACAGCGTTCCAGGGTGCCTCAGCCCTGCCTGCCCAGCAGAACCAGAGCCCAGGGAAAGACATTTCCAGGGTGTGCAGAGCACAGCCACCTCGTGTTGGCAAGAGTGGGAGCTGTGGGGCTGGCACCCTCTGAGGACCCCCACCCCCATATTCCCTGGGTGGGGGCTCTTTCCCCAGCCTGGCTCCCCTGTGATGGTGCCTCCAGCGATTGCACTGGCCTTCCTCCCCTTCCTCATCACCCTGCTGATCCGGTACCGGCACTACCTGGTGCTGCTGTACCGGGCCGTGCTGGTGGCCTGGCTGCGGGACCGGCTCACTGGCATCCCGCGGGAGCAGCGAGCCTTCCAGTACCTGCTGGCCCACGCCATCCCCGGGGACCCCCACCACATCCTGCAGACCTTCGACCAGTGGTGCTACCACTGTGAGCACCTCAGCTGCGTGGGTCCTGCCAAAGGTGAGTGCCACCCTTGCCCATGCAGGCTGCACTAGGCGAGGCACCTCTGGCACAGCCACGGCACTGCTGCTGTGGCAATGACACAATTGATGTGGCTGTGACAGTGCCGGTGAGGTCACAGCCCCACGGCTGCGGTTGTTGTTGTGGGTGCTGAGAGATGTGTCATATCAGGGAGGATCGTGGAGCGGCTGCTGCTAGAGCGGGCACCACTGCAGGTGCTGGAGCTGGGCACCTATTGTGGCTACGGCACTTTGCTGTTGGCACAGGGGCTGCCCCCGGGCGCCCGCCTCTACACCGTGGAGGGGGATCCCCAGCACGCTGCCGTGGCAGAGAAAGTCATCCGCCTGGCCGGCTTTGATGAGCATACGGTGAGTGCCCGGGCACTGGGGCAAAAGCTCTGTGCCTGGTACCGGGGCAGAGACAGGCAGGGACCATGGCACCTGCTGGGAGGTATCTGTGGGAAGAGAAAGATTCTTTCCCACATGGACCCCTCACCACTCTGCGAAGCAGGGTGGTGGGTGGGCACCCGGACACACCACTCCAGGGGCTGAGAGTGCTGTGGCGCAGGTGGAGCTGATCGTGGGCCCCTCAGAGGAGGTGATCCCCCAACTGCGGGAGAAGCACGGCATGATGAAGGCCGACTTTGTCTTCATGGATCACTGGAAGCGCTGCTACCTGCGGGACCTGCGGCTGCTGGAGAGCCACCAGCTGCTGGCTGAGGGGGCCACCATCCTGGCCGACAACGTCCTCTTCCCTGGGGCGCCCCACTTCCTGCAGTACGCCAAGACCTGCGGCAGGTACCACTGCAAGGTGCACCGCGCCAGCCTGGAATATTTCCGCGCCATCCCTGACGGCATCGCCGAGCTCCGCTACACCAGCGCCTGCTGACTGGGCCATGAGCTCCGCCCCACACTGCCACGGGCACCGAGTGCCCACAGTGGCCACAACACAGGCTCTGCAGGAAACATGGTGGCTGCTGTGGTCTGTGGAGGGGGGTGCCAGGGGAAAAAGGGGGCTTGCTTCCCGAGCAGCTCCTGCTTGCGCGGCTTCCCCCTGTGCCTGTGCAGGGAGCTCTGCCAGAGGGCCCGAGGAAGCGTGGTGGGAAGCAGCCCTGCACTTGCCCACATGGCACCCCCATGGCTGCTCCTGCCTGCCCTGGTGGCCTGAGACACCAGATTTGGGGTTTTCTTGTAAACTGAGTTTATTAGAAAAGACGTGTCAGCCCCAATGTGCCGGGTGGCAGCCACTCCTCCGGCTCCCCTGGGGGGGCTCTGCTCCAAGGCCCCCACACAGCACCCATGGCAGAAGGAGCTTCACTGACCTGCTCCCCTGCCCTTGTGGGGGGCAATGGCTCTCCCTAGCTCCCGTTTGGTGTGGTCGTAGCAGAATCAGATCATCCACTGGTCCTGATCCTGCTCTGCCCCTTCCATGTCCACCTGGGAAAGGGAGAGATTAGAGATCCCACACCAGAGCAGGGACCCAGGAGAGGGAGGTGGAGGAGAGGAAAAATACTCCGAGGTTCAGCTCAGGCACCCACATGCTGCATATCCCCTGCTCTGGGGTTGCAGTGGGGCCCCCAGCCCTGCTATTTACCTCATTGATCTCCCCATCATCAGGAGACTCGTTATAATCGTTCATCTCATCCATATCCTGCATGTCCTCGTCATCTTCAGAGTCCTCTTCGCTGTCTTCATCGTCTTCATCATCCTCCTCCTCCTCCTCGTCGTAGTGCTGTGGACACGACAGGTGCAGGGCCCTGCCCACCCCCCGGCAACCCCCCAGCTCCCTGCCCACACACCCACCTCGGATGCTGGCTTTCCTATGGGCACCAGGTTGTTGTCCTTCTCGGCAATGCTCTGCAGCTGTGAGGGCAGAGGCGGGTGAGCACCGCGGCAGCTCTGGGATACCCCGCACACTCCCCGCTCAGCTGCTGGCTCCTGCTGCTCCCTGCCCACGGCTGTTTCCAGCTGGCAGCTGCCCAAGGAGCTCTGTTGCCCCCCTTGGGATCCCCCTGCCCATGCCAGGACAGGCAGGGAACAGCAGCTGCAGGCTGCCTGCACTCCCAAGCAAGGACACCCTGGGGGTGAGGGGATTGGGGGTGTCCCCATGTGTGACATGAGAAGCTTAAACATTAAGTTTATCTATTTTTTTTTATCAAAAAAAGAACCAAACTCGAGGCATCTGCTCAGCCAGACTAACACACCCGCAGCAGATAATTAAAGCTCAATTAAAATAAGCAGGACCTCCCACCCAGAGGGACTGGGAACCTCTCCCAGGTGCCGGGGTTTTAATTGATTAAAGCTGTTTTATTTAATTATAATAACTTAATCACCGAGAGACTGCTTTTTTAAAAACTTTAATTTAGATGTTTCCCCCCACCCCCGACTCGGGAACGCCGCCGCACCGAACCGCGCTCACGGCGCGGACGTTGTGGGTTACCGGGGTCAGAGACCGGACTCCGCCTGCCCCGGGAGACGATCGGTTAAACAGCGGGTGCTCTGCAGGAGCCCCGGCTCAGCACCAGCCTGTGCGTTAACCCCATGCCCCGGGACCCACGCGATGCCCCGAGGCCACGCCCACTCGGGGGGCGCTTCCCCAGAGCCCCAGACCCCCAGGCCCAAACCCGCTCCCCGCTCCCCACACCTGAGGCCCACCCAGGCCTGGTGCTGCTGCTCCTGCTGCTGCAGCTCGGTCTCGTCCACGCAGGGGCGGTCGAGGTTGAACCAGAGGGGCTCGGTGAGGCGCGGCAGGAGCGATGGGAACAGCGTAGCCATGGCGGGCGCTCCGCGGCCGCGCCGGGTCCACCCGGAAGCGCCGCACCGGAACCAGCTCAGGCGCATGCGCGGTGTGTCCGCGAGGCCACACCCACAACGGGCTGAGTCGGGCTGGGGCGGGGCCATCTCTGATTGACAGGCGGGGCTCGCCCCCCCCGGGCCTGGGGCGTCCGTGACCCCAACGGGGAACATGGGACCTCAAGGGAGGTATACGTGACATCTCTGGGGGGGATATGTGACCCCCTCGAGGGCGTCCGTGACCCCAACGGGGACCCCAACAGGGGGATATCTGACCAACCAGGGGATATGTAACCCCTTGGGGGTATCTGTGACCACCTCCGGGTATATGTGACCACCCCGGGGGCATCCGTGACTCCTCCGGAGACATGGAACATCCCGTGGGGGTATCTACGACCCCAATGGGGTATCCATGACCCCCCCCCCCCGGGGATATGTGACACCCCTGGGGGCATCTGTGACCCCCAGTGGGGCACCTGTGACCCCCTGGGGGCATCTGTGACCCCAGTGGGGTATCTGTGACCTCCACAGGTATTTGTGACTCAAGGGGAATGTATGAGCCCCATGGGGTACCTGTGACCCCTCTGGAGCATGATACCCTATGGGGTATCTGTGATCCTCACAGAGTATCTGCCTGCCCACAGGGCATGTGTTACCCCTGGGTGGGGGTATCTGTGCCCCCCTTGGGGTATCTGTGACTAATGGTGGGTATGTGACCCCCATGGATGGGGGTGACCCCAGTGGGGGCATATCTGTGATCCTTATGGGGTATCTGCTTCTCTGGGGGCAACTGTCATCTGTGGGGAGGATCCATGACCCCCACAGGGTACCTATGACCGACCCAGGAGTATCTGTCCCCCTCCCCAGGACATCTGTGACTCCAGGGGCATGTCTGGCCCCCCCATCATGTGTGAACCTGGAGGTATCTGCCCTTTCCGGGGTATCTGCCCCCTCCGGGGCATATCTGACACTAGAGGGTTTCTGTGACTCCCTGAGCTATGGATGACTGTCCCCTCAGGGTATCTACCCAACATCCCCAAAGGCCATCTGGAGTATTTATGGTGCCGGTGAGGGGTACCTGCTCCCACCCTATAGTCATCTGTGACCCCACGGGAGTACCTGTCCTCCCCCCCGCCACCCCGGGGACCATCTCTTACCCCCCAGGACAGTCATGGGGACCCTGCGGTGTCGGTGAGGTCTTGTCCCTCGAGCTGGAGTCAGAGCATGAAGCCGCCTCCCACGGGAGGGACGAAAAAACAGCCACGGGTAGATTTTGGCTGGCGCTGGCCCCAGCCTGGCGCCAGGATGACAAATCCTGGCTCCCTGCAGGGCTGGGGGGGCCGGGCCGGGAGCGAGGGTCAGCGCAGGACACAGCGGGGGGTCGGGGCGCGGTGCCCCGTCTCCTCTGTACCCACAGTGCTGCTGAACCTGCCATGTCCCCACGTCCCGTGATCAGTGGCCAAGGGTTGTGCTGCGCCACGACCTTTGAGATAAGCTGCACTCACCTCGTGGCACCTGAAGCCCAGCAGCTCCCCCAGGAGGAGCCCCGGCCCCCAGTGCCCCCCAGGTAAGATCCCCAGCCCCCCACTGGTGGTCCCTGGCCAAGACCATGTGCTGCTGCCCTCCCGTGTGCACGGTGTGGAACTTTGTCCCCACTGTCACTGTGTCCCTCAGCGCTGCTGTCCTCACCCCCTGCCACCCCGGCAGAGCAATGGCGGTGGCACTGGCGTTGCTGGTGCTGGTGGCTTGGCCAGCTGCCACCACTGCGACGGTGACGCAGGGCTCACTGCTCAACGTCTGCATGGACGCCAAGCACCACAAAACGGAGCCTGGCCCTGAGGGACAGCTCTACGGGCAGGTACGGTCCTTACCCACTGCTGCAGCACCCACTGGTGTTACTCACCGTGGGGTCACTAGGATGGACCCCAGAGGGGTCTGTAGCCCAACATGGGCTCCATTACCCAGTGTCACCTCCCTGGGGGTGCTGGTGATTTCCCTGGACCCCCAGTAGGTCCCAGCTGAGCCCTAGTGGGTCCCAGCTGAGCCCTGGCTGCCCTGGTGCAGTGTGTCCTCTGGAAGGACAATGCCTGCTGCACTGCCAACACCAGTCAGGAAGCCCACGAGGACCAGTCCTACCTGTACAAGTTCAACTGGGACCACTGTGGGGCCATGCCACAGAAGTGCAAGCGCCACTTCATCCAGGACACGTGTCTGTACGAGTGTTCCCCCAACCTGGGGCCATGGATTGACCAGGTGAGTGCAGACCCCCCCTCACCCACTCGCTGGGACCCCTGGGGTGAACTGGGGTGAACTGGGAGCCCTGCAGGCAGACAACAGCTGGCGAAAGGAGCGGATCCAGAACGTGCCGCTGTGCCGGGAGGACTGTGAGCAGTGGTGGGAGGATTGCCAGGATGCTGTGACCTGCAAGACCAACTGGCACAAGGGCTGGAACTGGACCTCAGGTAATAGGGGGGTGCGAGGGACCCACCCACTATAGTAGCTGGACCCCACTGTGGCTCTCCCATTCCTAGTGGCTGTGAGTGGGTATGGGGGTGAAGATCCCCATGGGATGGGGGTGATGCGGGTTGCTAGCAGCCTGGTGGGGGTCCCTGTGCCTGTGAGTAGGTCAGGGGGGCTGGGGTGAGGGTCCTCCTGGGGTGCAGGGTGATGGGGTTGTGGCCCCTGTGCCACCCTGAGGTCAACGCCCCCTCCCCCAGTAAAGCCAGCGGGACCCATCTGGACCCCAAAACCATTCAGAGGGGAATGACACACCCCCTCCTTCCCAAAGCCCTTCACCCACTTCACCCCCTGTCCACCCCAGGCACCAACCGGTGTCCCCAGGGCGCCATGTGCCAGAAGTTCAAGTTTGTGTTCCCAACGGCGGCTGCGCTCTGCGAGCAGATCTGGTCTGGCTCCTACCTCTACACATCCCACCACCGTGGCAGTGGCCGCTGCATCCAGATGTGGTTTGACCCCGCACAGGGGAACCCCAACATTGCCGTTGCCCAGTATTATGCCCGTGGCAATGCCCCCCCAAACCCCCCACTCCCTGTCCTGCTGGCCCTGCTGCCCCCCACACTCCTGGCTCTGCTCTGAGCAGGAGAGGCTGCAGGCAGGAGCGGGCAGGGAGTGGTCAGGGGGGTGGCCAACCTGTGCCCCCCCATGGGATGTCCCCAAGCTGTGTCCCCCCCAGGCATGTAGATGGTGAATAAATACTCCTGCCCTGTTTGGTGTTGGGGTGCTGTGGAGCTGAGGGGTCCGATCGGTGGGAGGCAGTAGGATGGCTGGGGGACCTGAGGCATCTGATCCTTCTTCTCTTGGGGGAACAAAGTGAGGCATCACCCCCATTTATCTCTAACAACCCACCTAGTAGCCTGGCATTTCCCCCCAAAACCACTGCAGCTGGCAAAGCAGTGGGCACAGGGCCTTCTGCCACTGGGGCCCAGGGGGATGGGATCTCTGAATGTGTCCCAGCATCTGCCACAGCTCCAGGCCTATGGGGGTCACCGGCACCCCGGGGTGCGCAGGCTGGGACTAGGGAAATGATGAGAAGACGGAGGTAGGGGCATAGCTGCCCAGGGGGTCCTGCTAGCCTGAAGCCCACTGGGGGGGTCCCCTTCCCCACATGGCCCGTGTTCCCAGCTGTGGAATGCTGCCGTCCCGAACTCCGGGCCATGGAGATGTCCCTGGTCCTGGTGCCAAACCAGGCCGCACCCCCACTTTGTGACCCCATAGCCCTGGTCCTGCCCCACCGCGGCCTGCGGCTCCCCGGTGTCCTCATACCGCCGGTGCTCCCCTTCCCTGGTGTTTCCCTCATGGTGCTCTCTATCCCCCGGTGACTGTGCTCTCTCCGGTGCACCTCCCGATGCTCCCCATCCTTCCCCTGGTGCTACCCACTCCCCGGTGCTCTACGCCCTTCGGTGCCGCTGCCCTTTGATGGGACACCGCCCCCACCGACGCCCCCCCTCCGGTGCTTCCCCGACCGCCCTACCCATGGCCCCGGATCTCCGCCGGTGCCCCCGCCCCGTGCCTCTCCCGCTCCGCCCCCTGGGACCCCACCAATGCTCCCCCGGCACCGCACCGCTGTTTCCCCAAACTCCCCGGTACTGCCTCTCTGGGGTCTTCCCAATCCCCTCCGGTGCCCCCCTGGACACTCTGCTCGTGTCTCCACATC